TTTTGTATTTTTGATTTTTTGATTTTTGTATTTTTTGATTTTTGTATTTTTTGATTTTTTGATTTTTGTATTTTTTGATTTTTTGATTTTTGGATTTTTGGATTGATTTTTTTTTTCAGTATAGATATACATACTGTAGCACTTGAATGAGCGGGCAAGGTTACTGATAATGGGTATATATAACATGATCGAAGCTGTGTAACACAAAATTAAGGTTAAGGGTTAGGTGCCGCGAATTTGGCATTTATCATGTTGATAAATTCGGACGCGTTTAACAATTTACTGGTATAATAAAATTCAAATGTGGAACTCATGCTGTAAATTACACTATACGAATAATCTTGATCAAAAAAATTCCACGACATATGGCGCCGGAAAATTGGCGCCGGAAATTTGGTGCCGGAAAAAATTTGCGGACATAAAATCGTTTATTTTTTGCCGACAATTTTCTTAATTTTTTGAGATTTCTAGATGTATTATTCATCTGGGTACTGGGATTTATATTCTGAGTTCATCAATCTTGCATCAATAAATTTTAAGGGTCCCTTGTTTTGGAGCCCCGCCCGAGATAAAGTTCCACTCTGCCTCTCTCCCGGCGATCCTGCATGCAGTAGATGGAAATTTATAACGAAAGATTCAATATATACAATTTTAGACTTAACTACAGACTTAACTACAGGAGCAGCTGCGAAAATGCTGTCATCTGACAGGAATCGAACCTGTGGCTAAATATAGAGATTTTTGGGAATATGACGCTGTAAATCTCAATTTGCGCTTGGGATTTTTCTTGAAATTTGTGCTTGAAATTTCCATCCTACATAAATCTTTCAATCTGTTCATATTTTATATAATGGCATCACCTGTACTATATATATACTGTTATATAAACAAGAACTTGTGGTTGGAGCTCGACAACTGAACTCTATAACTCAGTTGGTTAGAGCACTGCAACGGAATTGCGGGGCCGTAGGTTCGATTCCTGCTATAGTTCTATTTTCCGCAGCTGGTTATAGGTCTAAATTAAATATATGTATGAATCTTCCACTCGAAATGTTCATCTACATAAAGCCTTCAATCTCGGGATCAAGTGGTCTTAGAATCAGGGGCGTAGGAAGAGGGGGGCAGAGGGAGCGCGTGCCCTCCCTCCCAAATTGTTTCAAAGGACGAAAAGTGTCCCTTTTTGTGATGAAAAGTGCCCTTTTTGTACAAGCTAATGTCTCTGTAAATACTAAATTAACATCAAAGGTGCCCTTCTTGTTTAGAGATTTCGATGTTTTTTTAAAATATTTGGTCAAAAACGTGCCATTGCGTTATATATGGTATTACGGGAAAACTTTTCTTAAGCTACTAGTTGTCCAATCGACGTGTGTGGTGCACCGCATTCTGGTTTAGAATACTTTATTGTACATACATCAAGTTTTATACTACAATATAATATACATGATCACTGTTTAGGGAAATTACATTTATTATGCCGAGGGGGGGGGGAGATGGATAATGTCTTAACAGGGCCCCTGTTGAGATTATTGGTAAATTTCCGATGCCCCCCTCCAAGTTTCTAAAATTTTCAATGCCCCCCCCCTCCAGAATTCGGAATCGAAGCAATACAATCCGGAATTCTCTCTTATCGTAGACATCATATATACAATTTGCAGCTCCTCAAGATGTCTGATATACTCAAGCATGTACTTCTCCTCAACTAAAATACCGACCTACTGCTTCTTTCACCTCACTAGCGCCAGATTAAATGGTACCCTTTTTAAAAAAAATAAATTTTAGATTGGTGCCAAAAAAATTTAAGTGAGCTATAGGTGATTTCATGTATCCATTTATAGAAGAGCAGACTAAGGATATCTTGAAACTGAAATCGGTTTCGAATACAACCATCAGGGGGACCTAGCAAAGCATCTGACGTTTGGGGGGGGATGTTGGGGGATTATACATGTAATAATAATAATAAAGCTTTTTGTGATTGATTGGCACTCTCATATTAAGTTTCGGGAGAAAAAGGGTGTCTGGGGGTCCTCCCCCAGAAAATGTTTACATTCTACGACTGAATTTCTGGCGTGTTTTAAAGCAAATTCGCAAATTCGCATGTATTTTACAAAAATGGTTATCATTTCACAAAAATAATTACTTTATTACGCAAATTTTACCTGAAAATGTCAAAATTTTAACTTGAATTTTATATATTTTTGTCTGAATTTCACAGTAGGGGGAGTTTTCAAACCATCTATCCATTAACTATGTGGGAGTGAACACTCCAGGCCACTGCTGGACCAAAACTTTGAAAAGTCTACAGCTACCCCCCACCCACCGTCAGTATATCGAGCCCCCCGTTCAATGCCAGATTGCCAGAGAATATTTCGATGTCCCCCTTAACATCTTCACCCCCCCCCACCCTTCAGCATAATAAATGTACTCCCTTATTTACGGCGGCCCAGACGCGACAGCACAAAAACAGTTTTTTGATTTTTTGATTTTTTGATTTTTTGATTTTTTGATTTTTTGATTTTTTGATTTTTTGATTTTTTGATTTTTTGATTTTTTGATTTTTTGATTTTTTGATTTTTTGATTTTTTGATTTTTTGATTTTTTGATTTTTTGATTTTTTGATTTTTTGATTTTTTGATTTTTTGATTTTTTGATTTTTTGATTTTTTGATTTTTTGATTGTTTTTTTATTCAGTATAGATATACATACTGTAGCACTTGAATGAGCGGGCAAGGTTACTGATAATTGGAAAATATAACATAATCGAAGCTGTGTAACACAAAATTAAGGTTAAGGGTTAGGGCCGCGAATTTGGCATTTATCATGTTGATAAATTTGGACGCGTTTAACAATTTACTCATATAGTAAATTGTGGAGCTCATGCTGTAAATTACACTGTACATATAATCTTGATAAAAAACTTTTCACGACATATGGCGCCGGACAAATGGTTCATTTGGTGCCGGAAAAAATTTTGCGGACATAAAATCGTTTATTTTTTGCCGACAATTTTCTTAATTTTTTTAGATTTTTAGATGTATCATCTGGGTCCTGGGATTTATATTCTGAGTTCATCAATCTTGCATCAATAAATTTTAAGGATCCCTTGTTCTGCGAGCCCCGCCCGAGATAATGTTCCCCTCTGCCTCTCTCTCGGCGATCCTGCATGCAGTAGATGTAAATTGATAACGAAAGATTCAATATATATACAATTTTAGACTTAACTACAGGAGCAGCTGCGAAAATGCTGTCATCTGACAGGAATCGAACCTGTGGGTAAAGATAAAGATTTTTGGGAATATGACGCTGGAAATCTCAATTTGCGCTTGGGATTTTTCTTGAAATTTGTGCTTGAAATTTCCATTCTACATAAATCCTTCAATCTGTTCATATCTTATATAATGGCATCACCTGTACTAAATACTGTATATAAACAAGAACTTGTGTTTGGAGTTCGACAACTGAACTCTATAACTCAGTTGGTTAGAGCACTGCAACGGAATTACAGGGCCATAGGTTCGATTCCTGCTATAGTTCTATTTTCAGCAGCTGGTTATAGGACTAAATTAAATATATATAAATCTTCCACTCGAAATTCTCATCCTACATAAGGCCTTCAATCTCGGGATCAAGTGGTCTTAGAATCAGGGGCGTAGGAAGAGGGGGGCAGAGGGAACACGTCCCCCCCCTCCCAAATTGTTTCAAAGGACCAAAAGTGTCCCTTTTTGTGATGAAAAGTGCCCTTTTTGTACAAGCTAATGTCGCTGTAAATACTAAATTAACGTCAAAGGTGCCCTTCTTGTTTAGAGATTTCGATGTTTTTTAAAAAAAATTGGTCAAAAACGTGCCATTGCGTTATGGTATGACGGGAAAACTTTTCTTAAGCTACTAGTTGTCCAATCGACATGTGTGATGCGATCGTGACTAAAACACCACACGAGTACATACGAGTAACATACGAGTAACACACAAGTACATACGAGTACATACGAGTAACACACAAGTACATACGAGTAACATACGAATACATACGAGTAACACACGAGTACATACGAGTAACAAACGAGTAAAACACAAGTACATACGAGTAGAATACGAGTACATACGAGTAAAATACGACTAGTAAACTTGTTTTTAGTGTTTGTAGATTGAATACAGGCAAAAAGATCGTCTTTTCCGTCGAAAAACGCGGAATGGGGGAACGGGAAATGGAGGAACAGGGAATGGAGGGAACGGAGAACGGGGAATGGAGGAACGAGTAACGGGGGGGGGGGGAATCGAGCAATTATGAATTATTATTAATACATATTAATCATATGTACGGGGGGAAAAGAACAGAAAAAAGAAACAGAAATTCGACAGGATAAACGGGAATCAGGGAATTACGAAACTATAAAACGGACTCTGGTGTCTTGGGAATTAGAAAACCGCTCAATGAATTAAAGCTAGTAAAGAAATTTATTGAAGCTTTCCTTTATTAGTACAGCGTATCATAAAAAAGTCAATCCACATTGCTTATGTCCGATCATTCAGTAATATTAATAATAATAACATTGCTTATGTCATTACTAATATACTTGCTATATAATAAAACAAACTTAAGGACTAGATGCAAGCCCAAAGCGGTCCTTATGCTCCATATGATATCTTAAAGTGATTATCCTATTTTAAATATCTTACAAAGCAAAACTAACAAAACACAAAATACTTCAAAATACGCAGATTTTAAGTTAGCGATTTAAGTTGGCAAGTACGTTTCTAAAGGACCCAGCCGAACTCTCCTGCAAGCTTTTGGACGTGCTCCACCTTGAGAAGGGAAGGAAAGTCTGGAGGAACGAGAACGTCGCCAAGAAAGCTTGGATACTTTGCTCTGATGCAGGCCTGATCGGAAATGAAAATGCACGTTCTGAGGCTCACTTGAAAACTGGATTTGTCCTGCACGGCCTCTTTAACATACAAGCTGGGAAAGGAGGGGGGGGGGAGGCATTTGCCCCCAGTCTCCCCTTGCGCAAAAACGAAATCACATTTTTCCCCACTCCCCCAGAAAAGTCCCTTTTTCCTAAATTTATACAAACAAACCAGCGAAGAATAACAAATTGATAAACGGAACATACGTTTTAGGCTTTATCCTTTGTCCTTGTTTAACAAAATCGAATTAAAGGACTGTGTGACCGCGTGGCATCCTACTTGTTTCTAACACTAAGTAATGATAAATTATTGTTAATATTTTTTAAATTCTTTGTGTGTTTTTTCCTTCTTTTATTTCAAATAGAAGTATAGTTAGGATAAATTCTAGAAAATAGAAGTATAGTTAGGATAAATTCTAGAAAATTTAGATGCTCAGACGGCAGAAAATGGCATTTTTGGGCTTAAAATTTCAAAAATTTTCTGGGGGAGTTAATGCCTCCAGACCCCCCTATTCATTCGCGGTATGTCGGCCACACACGTGACCCACGGCCATTGCTATCCCCCTTTAATAATAAGTAATGGATAAATTATTGTTAAAGGTGATCTACAGTCCGTATGTAAACAAAGCCTTTGTTTACATTTTTGTGTCCAAAATATTGAGCTTTATTCGACAACTATTTATATAGATGCAGTTAGTGAGTTAGGTTTTGTGCATGCTCACAGGGTTTTGAAAGCAAACCATGCCATGAAATATGTGAAGCCTATGGTTTGTGTCATGTATCTAACTATCTAGGTAGAATACCTAAAAGTAGATGTTGTACAAACTACAAAGTTGTGGTTTATAGAATCTGGCAGATCTCCCCCGCCCCCTGTCTCCTATTTCCTCCCTCCCCCCTCGCCCCTCCATTCCCTCCGTTCCCCGTTCCCCCACTTCCCGTTCTCCCATTCCCCGTCCCCCCATTCCCCGTTTTAAAGATAGCCGGTTTCAGTCTATTTCACGGTTTTTCGACAGAGAAAACGGTCTTTTTGCCTGTATTCAATCTACAAACACTAAAAACAAGTTTACTAGTCGTATTTTACTCGTATTCTACTCGTATGTACTCGTATGTACTTGTGTTTTACTCGTGTGTTACTCGTGTGTTACTCGTATGTACTCGTATGTTACTCGTATGTTACTCGTATGTACTCGTATGTTACTCGTATGTACTCGTGTGTTACTCGTATGTACTCGTATGTAGCTGTGTGTTACTCGTATGTTACTCGTATGTTACTCGTATGTACTCGTGTGGTGTTTTAGTCACGATCGTGTGATGCACCGCATTCTGGTTTAGGATACTTTATTGTACATATATCAAGTTCATACTACAATATATATATATACATGATCACTGTTTAGGGAAAGTACATTTATTATGCCGAGGGGAGGGGGGGGATGGATATGTCTTGAAAAAAAGCTCATATTTTTACATGGCCCCTGTTGAGATTGTTGGTAAAATAAAAGTTTGAAAATAAAAGTTTGAAAATAAAAGTTTGAAAATAAAAGTTTGAAAATAAAAGTTTGAAAGTAAAAGTTTGAAAATAAAAGTTTAAAAGTAAAAGTTTAAAAATAAAAGTTTGAAAATAAAAGTTTGAAAATAAAAGTTTAAAAATAAAAGTTTAAAAGTAAAAGTTTAAAAATAAAAGTTTAAAAATAAAAGTTTGAAAATAAAAGTTTGAAAATAAAAGTTTGAAAATTAAAGTTTGAAAATAAAAGTTTAAAAATAAAAGTTTGAAAATAAAAGTTTGAAGTTCGTTCGTAGTCGGGAAGAAAGCCCGCGAATACCGCCTTCTACGGGAAACGACAAAACGCGGACCCCAGGTCCATGGACTACCTTCGTGGACCTGGTCCATGGACTACACTCGTGGACCACGGAGCACTCCCGTGGACCACTCTCGTGGACCACTTGCGAAATTTCGCCTACCGAACAATAGACCAAGCACTATTATTCCGAGTTTAGAGAGCCGAGATTGGCGGGAACTATTTCATTATTCATTTCCATTATTTATTTCACAATCAATTCAGCTTTTGTTGATGAACAGTGAATACTAAGTCTGTAAAAATGCTTAAAAAATGTAGTCAGGGTTCCATTAAAAAATATAGGAATACTGTGGAGAATCTGGAGGGGAGGGGGGGGGTGTGTGGTCAAATGATTTTACTGAATTATATATTCGAATTTTACTGTTAAAAAATCACTTGAACTGTAGAAGTCGTAAGTTGCAATGACCTTTAAATGCCTGAAGGTCCTCTCCCAAAAATATTAATTTTTGAAGCTCGATTACTGCTTTTCTTGCATTTCCTGTAGCGATCGAGAAAAAAAACTACCAATTTTAAGGGCATATATTCGGAAACTTTGCATTAAAGTCGTAATTGCACACTTATATTTTAGAACGGTCATGTAGTGAATGGATTTAGAACTTAACATTTTGTGTAAAGTTTCCACAATGATAATAATGACTGAACTCGACTCAAGCACATTTTTGCATGCACAGTCAAGAATCCAAACCCCAAACATCTGGTATCTCGCAAGTGGTCCATGAGAGTGGTCTGACGAGAGTGGTCCACGAAGGTAGTCCACGGACCAGGTCCACGAAGGTAGTCCACGGACCTGGGGTCCGCGTTTTGTCGTTTCCCGCCTTCTACGCAGGCTGATATTTACATTTCAAAAATAATTAATAATTTGTGAGGAAAATACAAAGAAAAATCATAACATAAGCGTGTCGTTTACATGTGATAGAGATTTCCCTTGATTTACATAAACTTTAACGTTGATTTTCTCGACTTATACAACGTATTTTTTGAAAATTACTTCGCCAATGACCGTAGTATAGAGCGATCGTTTTTGAAGCAATTTAAAATACTGTGCCGATGTCTTCTTTATTAATATCAGACCTAAAGAGTAAAGATATTCGGCTTGGCCTCCTATTTTATATCTGATAAAACACTGCTGATCATGCATTAAATAGTACTAAAAAACTCATTTAGATAAACTTTAAGTTAAATTTTCTCACCAAATATCATTCATTGAATATTTAAAATTGTTGAAGAATACGAATGTTCTCAAACGTTTGATCACAAGTCATACGAAGTATCGAAGTATCACATGTTGTGACATTGTTGTCCCAGACATTGTCTTTGGCTCAAGTTTGTACATTTGATACAACACGGCCGCTCATGCTTTATCTAGATTGTAGACATAAAATTTACATCCGCAGTGCGTGTTTTATCAGACTTATAAAAGATACTCGGCCTCGCCTATAGTACTTCAAACTTTTGAAGACCATACATGTCAAGTCCGCGTAATGTAAATAAATCCTTCGACGCTTTGTTTATATTTTGGACTGCTATATATTTGTAAAATAAGACATACTATTAACTAAATAAATATCTAACAGTTTTCTGGTTCGCTATTGTAAATGAATATAAACTAGAGTACGTTTCAATTCAAAACATTTCGAAAAATGCAAAATTTGGGCAATATTTATTTCTGTGGGTCGCCGTTTGTTATGAACAGAACTGATGTGCAGAACGAACTTGACAAGGTCTTTAAACATTAAAAAAATCCAAATATATATCAAATTCAAAAAATCGAAAAATCAAAAATCGAAAAATCAAAAAATCAAAAAATCAAAAAATCAAAAAATAAAAAATCAAAAAATCAAAAAATCAAAAAATACAAAAATCAAAAAATCAAAAAATCAAAAAATCAAAAAATCAAAAAATACAAAAATCAAAAAATCAAAAAATACAAAAATCAAAAAATACAAAAATCAAAAAATCAAAAATAAAAATCAAAAAATACAAAAATCAAAAAATCAAAAAATACATAGCCTGCAAACAGGCTCACTTGGAGAAAGGTGAGCCTGCACGGAACCATGCGTTTTATTCATTCATCCCCTTTTCGCATCTGCTAAACGCTAACCAATCAGCGTCGACTGCGATAAATAAACTGTCAACTGTCAAATTGACGCAAGGCGTGTACATTGTGCAACATGAACAATAATAATACAAAGCATTAGCGGGCCGCACAATATATTACTCGGAAAATATAGAATTCTTCAAATATTAAATAGATATCAATACACATACAAATATAAAGCCGAATAAACTACCATTGGCTTTGAATGTACAGTAATACTTGTACTATGTGCGACTGAAAGAACAATGTTCTGAATATTTTGAAGCTATTACTAAAATACGATCAGATAGATTGGGATTTGGAATACCGAATACGTTTAAAATTTTACTAACTGTGGTCTAAATAAATGATAAATGAGCATGTATTTATTAATTTCTTCGAAATCACGAGTGTGCCAATAGTGGAAGCCGTATCGACGACGAAATTGTCAGCAGTTAATATACAGTAAACAGTACAACGTTTAATGTACGATATATATTTATCTAAATGACATGCCAGCGAGGATCGACAATATAATTATTCGTACATATTTCGGTATCTTTTGTATGCATTCGCTTGCTGACTTGCTCACTAATGAGAATAATCCGTGAAGCCACGACGACCTCAAAATGTACTATACTATGGTCTGATGTCAATCCGAAGACGAAGTTCAGAATACTGTTATAGTTTCGTATATTGGATTTAAGCGATAGATTCAAGTCATTTATGATAGACTTTTTTGCTGTGATTCTTTGCTATTGCTTTTGGTTTCCATTTCTAGTTTTATTTGTTCGATAGTCCTATAATATATAATATTAAAATGAATAAAGTTCAAATTCTTCAAAATGCTGTTGTTGACATTTGCTATTTTTAGTAATTTTGTCAACGAGTGTAAGCCAATCAAAAGCCTGCGTTTCTATACGAACGCCACTACCAAGAAAACCTATCATCCGTGCAGGCCCTCTATTCTTCGCGCCGCCCGCAACCCAGGGCCTGTTCGCAGGCTAAAAAATACAAAAATCAAAAAATCAAAAAATCAAAAAATCCAAAAATCAAAAAATCAAAAAATCAAAAAATACAAAAATCAAAAAATCAAAAAATCAAAAAATCAAAAAATACAAAAACTGTTTTTGTGCTGTCGCGTCTGGGCCACCGTAAGATAAAATAGAGCAGTAAACGGCCAATCGGCTTATTTTTTCATGTTCTTTCAGATAAAGCAATAAGTTGCCAACACCCTTTAAATCATATTTTGAGTTAATAGATGGAAAATTTGTTGGGTTTTTAATTACTGTACAAAATTTCAGACAATTTGCTTTAGTGTAAGTCCTTTAACTATTCATTTTTTCCTAAAAAATCAGCCTTTCGCATGCTTAATTAGTGCCTTTACCTAATTTGCATATTACTGACATATGCAAATTAGGCAAAGGCATGTTAGCATGCAAATAGCTGATTTTTTAGGAGAAAAATGTAAGTTTGCGTGAATAGTTAAAGGCTTCAGTAAAATAAACCAAATTGTCTGAAATTTTGTACAGTAATTAAAAACCCAACAAAGTTTCCATCTATTAATTTTAAAATACGATTAAAGCTTTTAAATTTCGTGAAAAAACTGGATACTGATAGCAATTTCAAATCTGTTCAGTTTTTTTTTATACACCCTGTAGTTTATACATTTATACATTTATAATTATAAGGATCATGCAGACTGCCAAATAACAACTTTTTTGTTTATTGTGATAAATAAGTAAATATGATCCGATTTAAAGTGGTCCGTCGAATCACGAAATGATAGAAAAATGGTATCATTTGACAGCTAACAGCCTGAACTTCAATGGTATGAAAAAATTAAATCTAAAAACTAAATATTACCTATAACACACGTTATAACATGCTAATGTTGGCGTACCTTTTTATGCACTCTGTACTATATATAACAAGTATATTTTAACAAGTTCTTTGTACGTTTGCATGGCGATAAAACATATAATAGTTTTGTTTGTGGTAACACCATGTAAATTTATTACTGCAAAGCTTTCGATCCGTAAGCCCGGATCTTCATCAGTGCTAATAATATGTCAACAACTTTTTTAACATATTATTAGCACTGACGAAGATCCGGGCTTACGGATCGAAAGCTTTGCAGTAATAAATTTACGTGATGTTTCCACAAACAAAACTATTATATATATTTTAACACTTTTCTGTCACAGAGTAACGGTTCTCCTTGAGTCAAAATACCTTTTGATATTATTAAGCAAAGTATTGAAGTCATCATGCGTCAATGTCTGGAGTTGGTGCAACTGAGAAAGGCGATGCGATGTAAAAGTAACGTTTTCTAAATTTATATTGCGTATTTTTATTCCAGTTTGTGTTGACCTCCTATCCACTTGTTACAAATGGATTCGTAAAGACTACTGTTCCCCGTCATCATCAAAATATTGCTACATGAAGTATTTCTGCAGTAGGACTTGTGAAATTTGGAGAAATTCTGAGCTGAGCAAAGGAGGTATAATGTATATTACTTTTTTAATATACTTGGCTTTTTACACATCAAAACTAAATGACTGAGTGTTTTTATTCAACAATTTTTTTTGTTGATTGAAACAACGAAAATGTTTGTGGAAACTCTTGAAGAAATGTTTTCCGAAAAGACGAAAAATATCTCCCGATTTTTTGCCGTGATCAATCGAGTTACGTTATAGAGCACGTACTGAATTCAACCTATCAAAAACGTTCTTATATAACATATATGTATTTAATTTGTAAAGCTCATTAATAATTCTTGAAGAAAACACAAAAGAAATCATGACCGTGAAGTAGTTTGTATATCTGATGCAAAATCATGCTAGTTTACATAAACTTTAAGTTCAATTTTCTCATCAAATATCATTCATTTTAAATTGTTGAAGAATACGAATGTTCTCATCAAGACGTTTCACAAGCTATTTACTTAATTCGGCTCGAGTTTGTATATCCGCGATACAACAGCCTCTCATGTTGTAAATAGTATACATAAAAATAATTTATATCCGATCTGTATCTTATTTACTACGGCTCGAACAACCGAACTTCAATAAACTTCTCTCCTTTTAATTAAACCGGTTTGCCACTAGGCGAATTTGTGCACGCAAATTTTTTCCTTTGTCGTCATCGCTTTTGCTTTTTAAGCTTAATCATGTTATAATATAGCTTGTATAAATTTTGTAATATTCCTTTGCGTGATACACTGCCCTTTCAAAATCACAAGTGTGAAAGAAGCCAATGCCAATGAAGACATACATTATATAGGAGAAAAGATATGATTCTTCCATCTGCTGAATGTATCACCATGATGTTTATGTTTCAGCAACTTGTGTTGACCTGGTTCCCAATTGTGAGGCAAAGGCACTTAGTGGTCAATGTACGAATTTGGATCATCGTCAATACATGGAAAATATGTGCTGCGAATCCTGTCGTGGTTATAGTTGTATAGATGAAGATCATTTTTGTGCTATTTGGGCCAGCTCTGGAGCATGCACTATTTTCTCTTATGTGCAAAAATACTGTAAAAAGAGCTGCAATTTATGTGACATTTAAAAATATAATAAAAGCTTACAGATTTTTACTGGCCGTATTTTAAATAGTTAAATAAACTTAGAAATTTTTGTTATGATATGGAAAATAAATATATATTCAAGACACTACATGGAATAATCCATAATCATGTTCTTATTTTCTTACTGTTAAATCTTGATCTCGATGGAGCTCGCGATTGGTCGCTATGTACTATTTAAAAAACGAGCAGGAGTGTTTTATTAGGTTTAAAGCCACGAGCGTGCAGCGCGAGTGGCTTTAGACCTAATAAAACACGACCTGCGAGTTTTTTAAATGGCTTCAAAAACGTTTGCATAATAAGTCAAATCTTTATATAAAAATCTTTATATAAAAATCTTTATATAGTTTGCATAACAATGGTCTTTTGTTAAAGTGTTCTTTAGCTGGTATAAAGACGTATGCACGTGACTAATTTCTTACTCAAGATTGGATAATTGCTTCATGAATTATTAATGAGTTTTTGAAATATAGTCTAATAGTCGCCTTAAGGCCATTTTCCATTGCAGTCGCTTTGCGCGCGGACCGACCAATTTTAATCACGTGAAAAATCAGTCGCCCGGGCACGCCAAGAAAGTTGAATGTAGTTCTACTTTCATGGCGTGTCCGCGAGCATTCAGGCGGACAAAAAATGCACAGGTTAAGCAACTACAGAGAAAGTTGAGTAATGTTCGCTCCGCCCGCGCGGGCAAAGCGACTGCAATGGAAAATGGCCTTGTCCAGACACACCGGACGCGATTCGACAAAGCTACGCGATTTTAGTTTTTGAAAGTTAATATAACAGCCAATGAGAGCAAATTTTCAAAGATATGTAGACCAAATAACTCAAAATGTTATAGCGCGCTTCTAAATATTTGGAAAATTTAAACTAGGATCAAAGTTATCGGGCAGTGAAAATCGAAAAATCGTGTCGCGTTGTCGAATCGCGTGCGGTGTGGTTAGATCATCAGCTGCAACGCGGAAAAGAAAAACATGGCCAAAATCCATTCTCGCGTGTTTCTCCCGAGAGACCTTCACGCGTTGGGGATGAGGCTGGCCAAAATCTGTGACAGTATATGGCGGATTTATATTTATTTTCTATTTTATTGAGTTTCAGCCCACTCATCGGTGAGCGGATTTCCCAACAGGCTATTGGCCAATTGCATGATAGGGGACCCGAGGTATACCTATACGTCTTCATCCGAGAAGACGTGAAAGTCTAACCCATTTCATCTCACCCATTGTGAACATGCTTGTGAATGATTAACATCTTTGTGGGCTTTCGGAATTAAATTTACTTGATTGAATAGCATCAATAATAGACAAAAACGAGTTAGCAAAACATAACAACTATAGATGATAGTACTAACATAAACAGTCTCTAATAATAACACGCTCATTGTACTTTTCACGATTAGAGGTCCATGTTTTTGATATTCAGAGGACAACCTTAATTGAATTGCGGTTAAATATCTTATGTAGACGGCTTGATTTAGGGAAATGTTTGTCAATAAGTTGGAGTGTGGTACCATATACGTTTTTGCTGTAAGGTGGGTTAAACCATATTACGTTTCTGTGTCTTTTGCGTTTCGGTTGGCTGGTACAACTCTCATTGTTGGAGTCGCCAATTTTATTTGATGATGTTGCATTGTGTTGTAAATTAAAATCATAATTACTACGATGTAATGCATTCTCGTAGATCGAGGCTGATGAATTGAACGTTTGTTGATCAGAGGATAAATTTGACACACGCGGTGATTTATAGATTTAGGTATACAGTCTTAGAAGATACCTTCCATATTTATATAATAATAGCCTAGTCTCAAAGGTATCTTCCATTTTCCCCAATTAATTAATCCCGTCATTAATCATTACATTGTTATATTGGACAGATTCAGTAAAGCGAGTCAACCCATTTTTAGCCTGTTTTTATTATTAAATTTTATCACGCTTCATTGTGACATATATACGCATGCATCTAAACTTCACAACAAATATGTCTTACTTAGTAACTAAATAATAGGAATATAATGAATCATTCATTTCAAAAAACAAAATAACTGTCCTTAAACTGCATGGGTTAAAGTCTAATGTCGAGCTTTCTTTAATTTATCATCGATGATATTTCACATGATTCATGCATAGCTAGTGAAGTATATCTCAGCGTGGAAGCAGGTGAGGCCATGGTTGTCCCCTTCAGTGTACCCGTACAGATCTTCTCCATACCAGACTCTCATCTGTTGCCCGTTATACAAATACCTGGTGCCAACGTTTGAAAATACAAGTTGGTTTGAATTCTCAAAGTAGCCAGGCATATGATACCATCCACCGTCTTGATATGGCTTCACCAACACAGGTGAAGGGTACATGACAGTGTTCTTCACATCTGTAACGTACATGTTGGTACGGTGCTGACCATTACATCCCCAGTTTGTGTTTCCATCAGCATAACAACCAATTTTTCCACGTACATGGGTCAGCTTGAAAGCAGTCACAAAACCAGGCGTACCACTGTATGTAAGCAGTGCGAAGTGATCCCCCCTAGCACCAACACAGCCGTTGCCAAGGCTAACCCATCCTCCTAAAAATTAAAGCTATCTTTAGTTAAGCAGGCAACTGACAAATTTTGAGAGAATTTAAATAGTGCACCGAGAACGTTTGGACATGGCAGTTTTCAGTGCATGCCCATGCATGGTTGCCACAAAAGTGCGTTTTTCATAAAGTACTCTGTTTAAACGAAGTTAAACCTGTGAAACTTTTCTAGCATTTTCAACATATTTGACAGTAATCTCAAATCTGTTTTTGTGTGTTTTCTTGCGCGTTCGTATGTGTCTCTGTGTGTTTGATAGTATCAAACTTATTACTAATGAGCATTGTCCATGGACAAACTGGTAAACTGATCTTGGTTAAAAATTAATGTGGATGAAATCTTTACCTTTACATGCTGCTATACAACAAAGCACCAACAAAATTCTCGCCAACATTTTCAGTTTTGAAAAACTTCGACTGCTTGCGTTGATTTTCTCTGCTTTGGTTCTTTCGCCTTCTTCGTGCAAGTGACTATGTATATGTTCTCATTTTATTTTATAGACTTCTGTTAGTGACGTCATGTAAATAAAATGTTTTGTTTGTATGCATGAAATTTTATCAAAACAGGGGAAATAAGGATTTATTAATAATCCTTATTTCCCCTGCATGCGTGCTATTTTGCTAAGTTCCCATCGTTATTTTCAAATGCCGTTAAGGAATGCCCTAATTAATTTCAGTGCCGGATTACCATGCATATGGCAGAAGCGGTATACACCACGCGCGTTTTGGGGGCCCTCGCGCTTACTTTCTTCGAATTTTTTGTTCCCTGCGTATAACAATTGACATGAATGCTCTTCAAAAATCGCGTAAGCACAACATATATACAAGGCATCTGCAGAATGAGACTCCAATGGCAAATGCGTTACATGTTCATGCGAATCATGTATATTGATTTTGTCCTTTATACCATTTGTTTATACTAATTGTCCTTTATACTAATTTGAGCATTAAGTATTGTTAAGTATTGTGAAATGATTAATTCTGGCAAAAGAAATAACAGTACGACTGTAAGCTGGACAACACACTGATGCAGCGGTTATAATGTCGGGGAAGCCAATTTTCTATTGGTTTCGTTCTTTATATTTAAATGTTCATGAAAATGCCAATTTTAAAAATAAGTTGAAATTTGGGAAATATTGAAAAAACAGGCCTTATTTAAAACATGCAAAAGTTGACAGACTGAAAATTGACTTGCGGCAAGCCAGCGCGTTGTCAAGGGGAAAGACTTTTATAGACACGAGATCGGAAAAGCAATCCTAAGGAAATGTAAGCTAAGTGTATAGCTCACCCACATGCAGACAACTAAAACTTGGGCATCAAATTTTGGGCATCTGACTCGTGGAAAAACACGCGCGTACCTAGGAACTCTATTTTCAGAGGAATCAATGCAACGGAGAGATGTTGTTTCGCTCAGCTTGTTCGGCCGCAATATACGGAAAACTACACTACCGTAGGAAGCAATTGATTAGTCAGGGGCGATTATTAGGTCATTATTTCCCTCTCAAACTTTACAGATTACTAGTTTACAAATCGCTATTTTACAAATTATTGGGGGCGAGGGCTGGCCCAGTTGCTACGACCCTGAACTATATACCCGCGGCACAGAATAAAGATCAGTAACAGAAGGGCCACTCAGCGGTGCAACGTGTCCTCGTTTTTTTTTATGCAAAAATATGCAGTTTACTGGCCAGAAGGCGGAGCAGCCAGCCAGTACAGCGTGTTTATTGGCTAGAAAATGTCATTGACTGGCTAGGAAAATGGCGGCCAACATGCGCGAGGACAGAAACTTCAAAGCTTCCGACGTAAGTGGCCCTTCTATATGGATCTTTATTCTATGTCCGCGGTATAGCAGGGCTCGAATCTTATCGCGGAAATTGCCGCAGGAGAAGAACAAAATGCCGTGGATCATTGCGGCAACGACAGCAATTTTTTGTCGTATAGTATAATTTTTGTACTATTCACTGTGCATTACTATTTTGACATGCACTTGAATTCAGATGTTGATCAAATCATGCGTAAACTACTATTTTAGTCTGAGTTTTAATTTCTTCAAAAAGAAAACACTAAAGAAATACGTAAACATGTTCCTAGCCTTGTCAACAATCCAAATAACAATAAAATTGAATTTTTATCACAGTAATTTGAAACAATGCCGTGGAAACTGCCAAAATTGCCGCAGACAGCTGTTACGTTCTACGGCAATTTTTAATGCCATTGCCGTCGATTGATTTCAGGGAAATTCGAGGCCTGCGGTATAGTGTAAACGTAGTCATAATTTCTCTCTGGTAAACCCTCTAAATTAATTATTCAGTTTACGCAATTACTGGACCGGTATGTTACAATCAGACAAAGGTTTACAAAGATTACGTGCACAAAGAGTACAAAGATTGAAAATTATAAAATGCTTTGTGTGAGCTATGTCTTCGTCTGACAAAACATGTAATTTTCGCTCGATAAATTCCATCTACTAGACCCACTAAATTAAATTCAGTTGATCAAATGCTTATTTTTAAGATTTATTTGTAGGGCACCGCATTTTAGTACTATGTCTGGTTCTCTTTATCAGTCCCTTCTAAAAGTATTGAAATATTTTTAACCTGATTTCCAGAACTCAATTCGAGAGGTTGCAACACTATACATGGTGTCGTCACCACAAATGATTCCACAAAGCCGAAATACAGTAGCCTCGTCCCCAGATTCCAACTTAAACGCGCGGGTTCGTGGCGCGACGCAAGGCAGTGTGGCTGGAAAAACAGTAGGTATGCTAAGTGTACATTAAAAGGCGGGGATTAGAAATGTTTAATTCCTTTCACTTTGTTCTCAACAACAGTAGGATTAATACAATAATAACTCCGAGGTACCAAGGACAATGCGAAATGCAACTCTCTATAGACGTCGTGCGTAGTTTGCACGGTTATCGAAAGAAAGAAAATATTGCCTGCAGCGTTTCTTGGTACAACTGTTACCCCATCTCCCTCCTTTGGCACATTCACGGACATTTCTGGCGTGCATTTCTGATCTATTTTTTGCCAATAATATGAAAGAATCGTGACTTAGCAACTAAGTTGTAACAAGGCCACTACTTTTAATTCTTTGAGAAGTATTAGTGTAAATGTGACAGATTTGTATCTCATAAGAGTTCTTAATCATTAGACGTTCTATGTGCACACAAAGGCCAATCTGCATTTTGTTTGCACAGTCACAAATGATGCCACGTCATGTATGCAAACAAATTCATATTATTGAAAGTAATTTTAACATTCATATATTTTATTGACACGAATTGTAATGAATGGTGACAAACAAATAGAGGTTCAAGGTTTATAGTTCGTACTACGGTTAATCCTACTTTTTGCTTCGTTTTTTAATGGTTTGGTTGCGAGAGGATACTTTATATAATAACGTTAAGAATTCAAGCGCTTTCATTGGTCGAGAGCCATGATCTATTGGAGGGCAGACCATAGACGCATGGAATTACGTCACACAAAACCTTATCCAATAGCGCTCCCTTATTTGTATAGTCTGTTCAATTATAGATACACAGTATGACATCATAATGTGGCGGGAAGAACAAGAAAGTGACCCACTCGCCTCGTGAGCCACTTTTTTGTTCTTCCCACATTATGACGTCATACTGTGTATCTATTATACAAATAATGAATGTTTATGAGTGCAATGGTAAGAATATTTTCATTCGGTGAAAGATGGAATGTTCCATCCAACGAGGCGACAGCCGAGTTGAATGGAACATTCCATCTTTCACCGAATGAAAATATTCTTACCATTGCACGAAAAAACATTCATTATTTGTTTTATATAATACCAAAATAGACTAATAGATTCGTATGAGAAGCATTTTGAGTGATGCGATTTATTGAAAACACAAAGAGTGCAATGGTACTATACGTTTTATTCCATTGCACTCGCAGAGAGTGCAATGGAACGTGTTCCATTGCACTCTTGGGAAATGGAATTTTCTATTCAATATCACGTGACCATAGTAAACAGCCAATTAAACGATTAGAATTCAATAAGGTATTATATAAAACTGAACAGACAACAGCAAAATCTTATCTACTTGTTAAATAGTGTTGTTATATTGCAGCTGCGATGTGAAGGATATACAACGACCTGAAAAAAGATAAGCAGAACTTCGACCTTTCGTCGGGAAGTTGGTAGCGACCTTCGCTCGGAAAGTCGACGTTCTGCTTTATGTTTTTGTTGTACAGTATATCCTTCACATCGCAGCTGTCTGTTATCCGCGTCTCTACCTACACTCGCATCGTTTGACATTTTGTCATCTCGCACCGTCAGTGGGCAGAGGTATATCTCGGTACGTCATAAAAAGATCATCAATGCAAGGTTTACTTTGTTTTTATCCTCTTAATGTCAACTATTTATCTTAACTTACTGTATTTCAGGTTAAATAAGTACTATAATTATAATATATATTTACTGAAGAAATCAAAACATTTCCATACAAAAACTATTTCAAATCATGTGGGAATAGATAGAGATTTTCGCACCAATGTATACCAATTACATTCATGGAAATTTCTATTTTGTGTGGAGCGGTTCTGATTTTCCCAGCAATTACAAAACAAATGTTGTAAAGTAGTTACCTATAAACCCTATTTACATATATGACAATCAAAGATAATAGGCAAAGGCATGGTTTGAAAGACCAGTCCACAAAAAGTCATTGTTCATTACAATGGATCATAAAACACCTTGATGTTTTCAGCGTGCTGGTGGCCTCTCAACCTTGTTGAAAATTATGACATCACAAAATCCAAAATAATTCCATGTTTAGCAATAATTGTACAGCTGAGCAATTTAGTAAAAAAAAAGTAACAATACAACCATCGATGCCACTCGACGATGGAATATCTAAATATTGTTGGTCATTTTCAGCCATTTCAGGAAAAATATCAAGTATTAGCCAGTAAAATACGCGTCAAAAAATCAATTATATCAACAGTAGTTTTTGTATCGTCAATTTCTTGATTACGAAAGTAAAAACTAAAACAACATTTACCTCGAGTACTTTGCCGTGGCACAAGAGGTTTAAAAGACAATGAAACCATTTCGAATCTCAATATCGCTACTTAAATGCGAAAAATAGGAAATTGAAGGAAAACGCAGTAAATTTTATTATTTCGGTTTTTTTCGTTGACATCGCGCACTTCAAATAGGTCACAGAATAAGAAGGTACAGCAGAAGCGTCACTCGAGTCGGTTCCCTTATTGTCTTACGTAGGGTTGGGCGATATTTCGATTTATCGCGATATTTTCAATCGCGATTATCGTATCGAAGGTAGAAACTTGAGCGACGATATATCGAAATTATCGTCATGCTCGATGACTATCGTGATATTGCTTCGCATGTGCATATAGCTTTTATAAAAATCCTAAAAAATTCTTTCAATTCCTAGAAAATATAGTTTTTAAAAGAATTAAAACTATTCCCTGAATTACATACGAATTTAAAACGATACAAAAGCTAATATTTATGTATTAATCTGCTGAACAATGAGATTGTAGCCTTTGCTTGCGCTGTGTGCCCACGGCATTTGTAATTGTGCCAGCGGAGACACAGTAGACATGGCTTTGAAGTTCTGGTTTATGAACAGTAAATATTAGACTAGAAAAAGCCTTGATATTACTTTAATTTTAATTTGTTGTTTTACTTGTTTTTAATACGATTATATATAAGCTTTCTATGCTTTGATATTAATTAAAATTGAATAAAAGTTGTCATTGTTTTATTGCATTTATCGCGATATTATCGAATAAGACGAATATCGTGATAATTTCCTTGACAATAATCGTGAGATGATATTTTTAATATCGTCCAACCCTAGTCTTACGTCCACGAAAATTTTAACTCGCTCACGCCATCCTGGCTAGTACAACCGGAAGTTTTTATCAGGTTTTGGTAGGTACAAAGTGCCGGTTGTACTAGCCAGATGGCGTGATTGATGACGAATCGCTTGTAAAAAGGCGGACAAACACTTGCTTGAGTGAGGGTTCTGCTGTACCTTCTTATTCTGTGAATAGGTCACTTCTGCTGACGCCAGCAGTCTCCTATCCATTATTTTTAACTACCCATAGACCAATTGCGAAACTTAGTGGCCGCGCCTTCATACTGCACGAAAACGAGGCTTATTATGCAAAAACAAAACAATTTCTATATTTTTATATAGCGAAAGGTGAATTTTAGGGTTTTAAAAGTGTTTTTTATTTAATCTCTTTCATCTTTTCTTAATATTTCTGCTAGGTTATATAAATATTTGTTAAATTTATCTAAACATCGATTTCCCACAATATTTTTACCCGCTATGGAGAGATATTTCGTTGTTGTTTTAGCATGCGATGGAACAAACATATCGAAAAGATCAATCTAGAGTTTAAAATCTGATCAAGATGCAAAAAAAATAGCCAGAATAACTTAACAAACTAAAGTATAACTCTTTCTACTCAGAGTTTTTTAGACTTCGTGCGAGAAAAAGATTTTGTCAAAAAATAATAACATATTAAATTCATAAAATTTCTACAAATTTTGCCCGACATTTACTTTCATTTTTTTAAAGTTAAAATCGAAAACTTGCTATTATATTACAACTGAAACAAAATTAATCAATGTTAGAACTTATTCTTTGAAATGTATTAATAAAACAGACGGAAAATACCTGATTCTTTGCCTGGCATAATCTGCTTCTTTTATCGGACAGCGAAAAACAGCAAAACATTGCCTCGCACGCCGCGAAAAACAATGAAATTTGAAGTAAGACTAAATCTATGAACAAGTTTAGTAAAGATTTACATAGTCAAAACAGAAATATTGAAAAAAATGAGGGGATTACCATAAAAACACGTCTCAAACCCTGAAATTCATTTTTCGCCGTATAAAAATATAGCAGAATGATTTGTTTTTGCATAATAAGCCTCGTTTTCGTGTAGTATGAAGGCGCGGTCACTAAGTTTCGCAATTGGTCTATGGTTCTACATTAGCCAACTCCGCAGGCAGTGCAGAATTACACAATACTATAGAGAAACTATTTAATTTAACAAGTTTTTATTACTGTCATGCCCTTCTTACCACCTCTGCTAAATATTGCGTATTAAATTTCGCGTATTTAATTTTCCACCGAGTTGCCTGCAGAGGAGGCTAGTCCTACATAGGAACGGAACCTAGACGAGAAAGTTTCGCTCTCCAAGTTTTACTTGGTCGTGTGTACGGCAAAAATTGAATGTTTTCCTTGACATCAGCCTTCTTCAAAAGCTATAGTCATGCCAGCTTTTTAACAAGGAACTTGTCAAGGAAAGTTGCCATGGAAAACTTGCTCGTCTGTACGGGACTTTATTTATCAAGGATGAAGTTTGTGTTATCAACTGAAGACGAGGGCTGAGGTTAATAACACAAAAGTTCACCTGCATGATCTTCCTAACCATTTTTTGCAGTTATTGCCAATCAGAATGGCTAAACCTATTAATATATTAATACTAGATTAAAAGAACGATACTTTAATATTTGCATTAGGTGGCAAGGAAAGTAGCCGACGATGTGGACAAACCAACTCTCCTAAAAGTAGTTTAAAGGCAATACGAAAGGAAAAAAAATAGAATTAGTAAACGTAAAATTGCATTTGAAAGATAAACTTAAAGTATATTGCAAAAATATGATAGACGCTCTGCATCGTTTTTAGAGTAGACATATTCTTATAGAGGAAAGCACAATTCTAGTAAAAACGTTTACCCAAAAGTCATATATAATATTTTAAGTACCATGGTAGGTGTCATTATGCAAAGCGTGACGTAAATTCATTAATGCATTGAATATCAAGAAAATGGAGTTATCTCACGATTGCACCAAGGAAGGCGCTCCAGATATATATAGAGCTCGCTAAAACTGGTGATATATACTCACGCTTCCTTGAGAAAGACCTCTAATGTAATTTCATCCAAATCAGCACCAGGCGGATTACGATTGATATCTTTGATGCCCAAGTTTTCAAGAGCTGAAGAGAAAATGATCCAGTACATTTTGTAAAAACGAACAAATTAATGTTATACATATGGTATTGGCACGAATGATCTGCATGTACACATGGAAGTTACAACAAAGACTAACTGGGATAAAACTAAAGTAGTGTAACATGCAGTTGTATATAAATTCTTAAGATTGAAAGTGTCCACCTACTGTAATAGCTAGGTTTTAAGTTTTCACAGATAGTTGATCAAGCTGCTATTACCAAAACCATACAATCACATGCTTCATATTCGGCTCTTTTGTGTCAAAACATTCAGGAATGTGACTATGTGCATTCCTAGCATAGTGAAATTGACATCTTGGGAATGGAAACACTTGATTGGTTTTTGAGAAATTATTTTGAGATTAGGCGTAAAAAAAACAACCTGTGGTTCCGGTTCCCGACCGACCCTATTTTTTTCTGCCGACCCTATGATTTTTTCAACGCGATTGACCTACCAACCCTATTTTCTCCAGGTGGTTGCGGGCTGCTCATACAGCGTGCCAAAATGGCGTCTGTTGTCACACTAATTATTGAACCAAATTGCCTAAATCCGTCCATAGGAAATACGCATCTCTAGTTAATATTGATGTCGAGCCTCTACTGAAAATAGCCCAGCAGAAAATCGCCAAACCATGAAAAAATTATTCCCCAAAAAAATTTATTTTCGACCTACCGACCCTAATTTTTTCACGATATGAAACCGGAACCACAGGTATTTTTTTTACGCCTTAGCTGAATAATAATAATACTTGTCATTTCAGCACAAATAGGCATACTATTGGCATAGGAATGAAGTCGCATTAATTTTATGAAATTCAATGCTAATTAATTGACACAAAAACACATATGAGAGAAAGCATGAGTTTTGATAATTCAAAGGAAATGATAATTGTGCTTGGTAAATTACCTCGTTTATACTGCTCATAGTTAATATAACCATGATTTGATATATCCAAAATTCCAAATAAAGACCTGATATTTGTGTCATCAAACAAACATGGATGATTCATTTCTATAGCCCTTGAGTCCATTAACTTCTTTAAATGAGAAACCATGAACGCTTTGGGATGTTCTGACAACACAAAGGAATTATAGATATTTAATATATATATTTATTATTTATTATTTTTTTTATTTATTTATATATATATATATATATATATATATATACTAATTATGATCTTAAAATTTTATTAATCGCTACACAGTGTTTCACGCTTTCAAAGCGATCTTCAGGCGATACTACTCTAAATAGTTTGCTTGCTTGTTTGTATATTGGTATGACAGCAGGGAGGTTTAAAGCAAGATACGCCAACCACAAGAAATCCATCAACTCACCTCGCTATTCAAACGAAACCGAACTTTCTAAGTACGCATGGAAGCTAAAACAAAGTAACCGACCGTATACTATAAAGTGGTCGGTTTTGTCGCATGCATCAGCCCATACAGCAGGTGCAAATTCTTGCAACCTTTGCTTAGAGGAGAAGTTTTATATAATTAAATCTCACAAAGATAGGACGTTGAACAAACGAACAGAACTATTTTCAAAGTGCCGCCACAGAAACTCATTTAGCGCGCGGAATTTTAAACGCACGCGCGCATGATGCAATCACGTCAGCGGACCGTTGAATGAATGGCGCAAGCAAACTATTTAGAGTAGTATCGCCTGAAGATCGCTTTGAAAGCGTGAAACAATGTGTAGCGATTAATAAATTTTAAGATTATAATTAGTATATTTTGCTCTATCAATTAAATTTGTTATTGAGCACTCTTTTTGTACAACGGACAACGATTTATTATTGTATATATATATATATATATAATTTCGCTTACCTCAAAATTCCGCAACAGTCTGTTTCATCTATACTGATGAAACAGACTGTTGCGGAATTTTGAGGTAAGCGAAATTCTACATTTGCTCTATCTTTATGATATTGAGCACTCTTTGCGTTTCGTATACACAAACCTACTCGTATATATATATATATATAAATAACCTGGCAAAAATCCATTTAAATAAGTTAATCACCAACACATATTGACGTTTCGACTTTATTGTCTTCTTCCAAGTAAAAATCGTTAACATAAACCCCTACTTATATACCCTATATATATATATATATATATATATATATATATATATATATATATATATATATATATATATATATATATATATATATATATATATATACTAATTATGATCTTAAAATTTTATTAATCGCTACACAGTGTTTCACGCTTTCAAAGCGATCTTCAGGCGATACTACTCTAGTAGTATCGATACTACTCTAGTAGTCTCTGAGTAGTATCGCCTGAAGATCGCTTTGAAAGCGTGAAACACTGTGTAGCGATTAATAAAATTTTAAGATCATAATTAGTATATTTTGCTCTATCAATTAAATTTGTTATTGAGCACTCTTTTTGTACAACGGACAACGATTTATTATTGTATATATATATATATATATATATATATATATATATATATATATATATATATATATATATATATATATATATATATATATATATATATATATATATATATATATATATTTTTGTGTGAAATAAAGTTCATATGAAGTAATTCAAGTTTGTCTTCTAATCTCATTAGCTCTACTACGGTATTGAGCACTCTACTCATATATGATTCCAAACTCGATACTTGTCTATATGGGTGTATGGAGTGTATGGAGTGTATGAAGGAGTAGTACCTTTGGAGCCCGGGCAGTCGCATCCTCGGATGGCTCGTGAACTTCTGGTCTCCACATACACTCAACTCTCACAACTGCATGGCTCCAAGAAGTCGCATGGGCAATGCGGCGGCCACACCCCAGTACACTGCCTCGGCT